CTTTAATGCAGCACAGTTGACGACACAATCTCGCAGCAGACCCAAGCGAAGAAACCAATTTAGTGTTTGATTTGATGGCTTAGATGTTTTCTATGAAAGAAGCACATATGAATTGAACGATTGAATTTTTGATTTGATGTAGGATGTATTCTCTATGGAATAAAATGTGTTCAATCTATTCACAGAAAATACGGTGCCTCAATATATAGGTTGGACGGAATAGATTGTATGGGCCAAGTAAAAATCTCAAAAATAGAAAATTAGGTTTCTCAAAATAATATGTTGATCGAGCGAGGTGACTTCTTCGTTTGAGCGAAGGGTCTGTCGCTCGAGCTACAGAGAGGCGAAAGTCGAGCGAGGTAGTTTCTATTTCAGTCGCTCAAGCATCACTTCGACGAGCAGCTAGCCAAAATCTGGCGTGAATCCTTCTTGTTTCAAACATAAAACCCCAAACTCTAATCTAACCTACCAACTATGAAACTTTACAATTTAGTCCCTAACTTTTATAAATGTTCAAGTTGGTCAATTTGTTCACAAAATTGCCAATACAAAATATAAACCTAACAAACTCCCCATTTGGTATTCTGTGACAAAACAAAAACAAACACAACCTATCCAAACTACCCAAGTCCAATAAAACCAACTGAATGCAGCTTCNACCATAACCACATTAATATCACAAAGCATTAAGAAAAACTTAAACAGTCATGTAAGAAATGCAACACAAGTACAATACACATGCTCCCCCTCAGTGCATGATATGTAATGCAAATGTAATGCCACTACTGCAAGCTCTAAGTGTTAAAGTAGTAGAAATTGTATCTATGTCTTACCCCATCGATCCCTTACAATATGTACCTGCTCAGATAGCTCACCCTTACAATAAAAATCTCTTCCCTTTTTTGTCACAAATGTCGAAGGAACAGAGCAAAATTACACATATCAACAATGTAGGTATAAGCAATCACAAGTATATGCAGTGAACAGTAAAGTATCCCACAACTCCAACTTAAAGCACCCATGGAGTAAATGATATAAGTGATTCATATGCTTTAAGTATCACTAATCCTCTGACAGTAGGACTTCATACCTTAATTTTGTGAGAAATGACATGCTAAACATCACTGCTAATAAATGTATTCTTCTACTTATGAACGTCAAACCTTAAAGAACATTAGAACCTACATATTAAAGCTCACTTCAAATCAATTTTTTTCTCCCCTTGACTTACAGTATAAAGATTTTTCCTTTTATCACACTTTAAATAGGAATGCTCATATAATTTTTTTCATCTTAAGTGCAGGCTTCTTTCCATTTAGCGACTAACCTGACCCCTGTAATGAGCTTTAGGCCGGTTAACCCAAGTCAGATGATCATAGATACCAGGTTATGAGAAACCGTACAAGCTTAATCACCTGAGTCAAGTAGGCTTCGAAAAGTAGCATGAAAATATTGAGCCCCTTTGAATTATCTTTTTTCAACCATACATTATTCATGTAGGGATAAAATCGAGCTTAGGTCTAATTAAAATAGTCAATTCATATTCAAAGTCACCCTACTAACATGTGACTGCTATTCCAAATCTCACACACAAGGTAGAGTCCCACTGTCAATATTATAGTGTGTACAGTGCAAATAGTATATGAAGAGACCTATATTAAATACTCCACAAGCATCCTAAGCTAGCAATGAAAATTATATTACAGCCCACCAAATAAACTCATTCTTGATTAATACCAACAAAATCAAGTGTATTGTGTATCATGCTGTAAAACTAATTTCCAAATCAAACTCTTTTTGTTCTTTATTTTTCTTTTTCTCAAAGCAAAAACTCAAACTAAAGAAATAAAAGAAAATATTTTTGTTTGTTTTTTTTTTTCCCGTATAAAAATATGAATGCACCAAGCACACAAAACATAAGAATTCAAATAAAACACAAACCATAAAATAAAATGCATGAGAACAGAACAAAAAAACAAATATGATGCATGCATAAATCCATGTCACATAATGATAAAGCACGAGCATGCACCAAATAAAAATACATAATCAGTTAGGTAT